GTGGTCCATGCACGTGTTTGCATAACCCATGAGTACTTTAGTACAAACCCTCCTAGAATATATAATGAAAAGAGGAAGTACTATCGCAGGGAATGTCAAGAATGACGCTTTCGGAAGCGTGAGTTTGGACCTCTCACGTCGCGATTCCCGCTTTCGTGGCACGTACGCAGGTCAGCTGCGACGTCTCCGTCTGATTCTAGCTGCGATAGTAGCGATACGGAGGAGACGACCGCTCCGGCAGTGGTTATTGCCATTAAACACGCCATCCACGGGGAGTTAGCAAGGCGCGGCATTGCGATCTGCGTCGCCAACGCATCACCAGCAACATCGAGCAGCCTGCGCGCAAGAGCACAGTAAAATATATATGATTAGCTACTGCCGTCTTTCTGCTGGAAAAGGATACATACAAAGTACCTTAATACAACTGTCATGCTCGTTGGGATGGACTTCTCGACCTAAATCAACACATATTGAGCTCTTGTGCATCTACGAACACAACACGAGTGTGAATACGCGTGAGTTCTTCGCACCGACAATATACTCGCACGTCACTACATGCACCTTTACCATCTGATTCAGGCACGCTCGACGCGTTGCTCGCCCAATGAACGTCAACATGCAGCATGGACACGTTGCCGCGTCCTTGTAGTGACACAATATGAGCGTGGTGTCCGTGTTGTCGACAGCATGGAGCAGCTATATACACGTCACAGGTGATGGAATTCAGAGCTCCGCTGGTCGCCTTTGCAGTGTCAGCTCCAGCTTACCCAGCTTGCAGCAGTCGTGTGGCTCCGTCGTCCGTGCATCGTGATCTCCTGATGAAGTGTCATCGACCGCGGTATCACGGTGTCGTAATGCTGTCTATGGTATTGTGCTACGCAGTGTATCTGCGTTGTCCGTGTTATCGTGTTCTACTATGGCATCGTGCTCCACAGTGTTCAGTCGTGGTCTCCCCACGCGCCCACCTCCCCGTTTATTTCGTGGCTGGTCCGCCGTCCGTGCAATCTAGTTCTAATATAGTACTGTCCTCCGTGGCTCGGTAAGCTCAGGTTAAACACTGGTATCGTTCTCCGCGGCGCTGTGATTTTCCGTGTATAGCTCCGCGACTGCGTTCTCCCATGGCTTAGTGGCACAGTCCATGCTATCGTGCTAACTTGTAGTGTCGCGGTTGGTCTTTCGTCAATGCAATCGCTAGTTACCGTAGTATCGTGCTGTTCTACTCGGTGAGCTCCGTATCTAACCTTATATCGTGTCCCTAATACCCGGTGATATACCGCTTATGGTCTCCCGCGGGCTCATGTTTGGTCTGCTGACTGTGCTCCGTGTTCAGCCGTGGTGCTACGGGAGACTTTCTGTCCGTGCACTATTACCGTTACGTGTTCTACCGTGGCTTCGAGCGTGCGTGCTCTTTCGTAACCCGTGCTTTTCAGCATGCTGGGGTGTCTATGGATTTAGTTCCCTTCTGTGGCCCGTACGCTCCCGTCATATTCTTGTCGTTCTGTCCTGTTCATGGCTGCGTGCACTTCCATATTTCACGCTACGTAAAACACTTCGTGGTTTGCATCGGCTAAGGCTTCGATCTTTCGTGCTTCGTGTTGCTCTTCTATCCCATCGTCTACATAGGGTGGGTCGATGTTTATTCGGCCTTCGTGCTCTCGCTTAGTCACGTGCCTCCGTAAACACAATAGCTGTACCCATTTTGTTTGATATACACAACTATATGTGTAGATATATACGCATATATACTGATGTACGCATACATATATATATATATCTATATATGTAGATACATATTCACGTAGATATAGAGATATGTAGATATGTATACATATATATACATATATATATATATACATATATATATATATATATATATATATATATATATATATATATATATATATATATATATATATATATATATATATATATATATATATATATATATATATATATATATATATATATATATATATATATATATATATGTATATATATATATATATATAGATATATATATATATATATATATATATATATATATATATATATATATATATATATATATCTATATATATATATATATATATAAATATATATCTGCATATACATCTATATATATATACGTGTGTACAT